ATAGATAGATAGATAGATAGACAGATAGACAGATAGATAGATAGATAGATAGATAGATAGATAGATAGATAGATAGATAGATAGATAGATAGATATTCATTCATTCATTCATTCATTCTTTATTTATGTATTTATGTATTTATGTATTTATGTATTTATGTATTTATGTATTTATGTATTTATTTATTTAACTTAGTTTATATGCCACACAAGTTATTGACCAACTCTGAGTAGCTTCCAATCCCACCACACCTAAATAGGATTAAAACAACACAAGTGCAACACAAATAATTAAGAGAACTTAACATTAACAAATTAATAGTGAAATATTATGTGCCAAGGAACCATAAAAACGTATATAATCAATATGCTTACACAGGAGGAATTTGTCTCTATTTATCTTCTGAACAAAGGCGTGCGGAAATAATCAGGTTCTTATTAATTTCCCAAACCTCAGCAAAGTTGGGCCAAGTTGAATTTCTAGGTGGGTATTGTTCCAGGAAAGGGGGATAGCAGTCAAGAAAGTCTACTTCCACGAACACTTTAAGAGAAAAAAAACGGGGAGTCTACTCTTCATGATCTAATTGGGTGGACAGAAACTGTTGGAAGCAGGTGGTACTCTAGATATCCAAGTCCTAGGCCTTGAAGGCAGCCCACCTTGAACTGCACCCAGAGCTGAGAATGCAGCTCTCGAAGTATATGGGCAAACTAGGACACATCCATAACTACTCAAGTTGCTGCATTCTGGACCAGCTGTAGCTTTCAAGTGGTATTCAAGGGCAGCCCCATGTGGAGCTCACTGCAAGTCTAAATAGGAGGTAACTAAGGTTGTAATTGGCACACCAAATGAAATTGCGTGAAGGCCATCTTGGACAGAGCTCCTGCCTATCCCAGATATGCCTCATTTCATATACATAATTGTGTATAATACCCATATAATTATACTGATTTTTATTTCTGATGCTTCATGATTTATTCTGTAAAAATCATGAAAATCTGTATTGTGAAGTGGATAGAGAAGTATTTAAATATTTTGCTTCAGGAAGTGAAAGCCTTGTACTGCCCATAGTTCACATGACTAGACCACTTCTGTGAAAAATTAATTAATATGGTAGTCAGAGTCAGGGCATTATGGTGTTCAACCTCCATACCCTTGGACAGCAATGAAGATAATAGGGAAAGATAGGTTAGCTTATTATCAAATCAGTTTTGATTTTCCTTGATCACATTCTCAGAACCCAATTCTGCACAAACTCTGTCCAGTTAAATTATCCATGAATTGAAAAGCTTTAAATGTATTAGTCTGTATTGGATAGATGATCTATTATTTAATTTTAGTTTTTCTATAAATGTGATTTTATATTTATAGATATGTTCATAATTTTACATAGGTATGTTCTTAAGTTTAATTGTCTCTGATAATTTGCTAGTAATGGTAAGTTTTTTTCAATAAGACTGTTACTTTTCAACAAAGGATAGATTATTTTGAGATTGAAAACATGAATAATTGTCAGTAGAGAAGCAGATCTTTGACTTATATTTTAATTATAATTTCTAGACGAATTTCTCTAGCTACTCCCCGTCAACTTTATAAATCTTCCAACATGACTCAGCGGTGGCAGCGAAGGGAGATTTCAAATTTTGAATACCTGATGTTTCTCAATACTATAGCTGGTGAGTCTTCTGTATTTTAATTCTTCATAATATATTTTAATTTGTCAAAGTTTTTAGTACTATGAATGGATGGAGTACAATATTCCTCTGTGATGTAAATGCAACTTTATGATTAGTTCTGAAAAAGTGTATAATTTGTTATTTATTAAATTTATTGGAAAAATAATTTATCACTCTTCAGATTTATTTTTTGTGGTAGTAAGTTTTTTCTTTCTACCATTTACTCTAGGGACAGCATGAAGCTTTGCTGAAGCTTTATTAGAGTCAACAAACCATTGTTAATGTGAGACTGGATATAATTATGGAAAAATGTAATTTTGCTGTGTTGTAATTCTTAGCAGTAACAAGATAGTAAAATAACAGTATTCTGCTTAGTTCAGAAGGTATTTTAAGTCCTGTGGACAGTATGTGATCATAATTAGCCTAAAATTTATCTATAGTAATTAAAACAATGTTATTAATGCATATCTAATTAACATATTATACTACATTGATATTTATATTGATATGGTATCTGATTATTCCTCTGATTATTCCTTTGATTGATATGGTAACAGATTATTCTCTGATATTGAGAGACTCAACTTATTCAAGTCTTCAGTATTTTATAGAAATCCTTTTGTGCAACCATTTTACTACAAGTAATTTTTTTTCCTGATGGAACTGAAATTCAGTTGATTTACCAGAAAGCTTTATTTGTTTTGTCTCACATCCAATAAATGAGTGGCTTGTAAGTCATGTGGACGCTTCAGCAAGCGGAAGATGAAATGATTGGTTTGTTGAATGGTAGTAAAGGATTTACAAGTGCTAGTCCAGTATTAATTTATTTCTATATTTTTTAATTAGATTTCTATCTCGCCTTTCATTCTGGAGCTCAATACTATTATGTATAATATATATCCATGAATCTCATTTAATGTATTTTTGATATTTGTATCTTCTGATATAATAGTGTATTATTATATGACATAAACTTTCTTTATTTTCTTACAATTCTCTTACATTACAATGATAATGGCCAGCATCCCTCTCAATAGTCCTAGGCTAAATGACTCAGTATAAAGCAGATTACTACATAATTTAGATTACACACCCGTTTTGGTAACTTATTATTATTGCAGATTTCTCTTTTCTTAACCTCTTTCTATTATCTCCACTAATTTCCTTTCTGTCCTTTTTTCAGTAGCAATAATTTCTTTCTTTTTCTTTTTCTTTTCCTTTTTCCGTTTTACTTTTCCCTAATCTAAATAGGGAAATACCCCTTGGTTTTCATCAGAGTCTCTGTATAACATACATATGTGGAGTCTGGTGCTCTCTGAGCTTGATTGTTTGCTTGCAGACATTTCATTGCCCAACTAGTTTACATCATCAGTAGTATTAGTGTGGGGTTTGCTCCCTGTTTATATACAGTAGCTTTCCCCAGGCCCCACACTCACTAGCATTGATGATGTTACCTAGTTGGGTAATAAAACATCTGCAAGCAAACAGCCAAGCTCAGAGAGCACCAAGGACTCCACAGTTCAACCCTGAGCTACATATATTCTCTTCTATTGGAACATACCATTTCATTGCCCAACTAGTTTACATCATCAGTAGTATTAGTGTGGGGTTTTCTCCCTGTTTATATACAGTAGCTTTCCACAGGCCCCACACTCACTAGCATTGATGATGTTACCTAGTTGGGTAATAAAACATCTGCAAGCAAACAGCCAAGCTCAGAGAGCACCAAGGACTCCACAGTTCAACCCTGAGCTACATATATTCTCTTCTATTGGAACATACATATGGTTTTTATGTTCTACACCTGCATAGAAACCCTCATCAAAAACTACCATGGTTGTGTTTTTGACCAGTTGGCCTACAACTTTGCATACACCTAGAGATCCAGTCCCTCTATTTCTTTGAATGCCTGGAAAAGTATATAACTTCAGGATGTACCATTGAAATGTTGTAAGTTGCCTCCTGAACAATACCATTGCATCTCCAAGTTACCTCCAGTTCTCAGAGAAGACAGCCAAGTTCTTAGTGAAGGGCACATTAAACCCATACTATCAGCAGAAGATCTTATCCTGGACCATTAGGTCTTCAAAAATGCATCTAATCTGAAAGGACAGTAGTACTTCGGAATAACTTACTACTATTGAGGCAGGGATACTTACTGGATCTAAGAGGGGGTAAAAAATATACATCCACATCATAGTATATTCTCAGTTTAAAAATTTGAATTTGCAGTAGAGGTAGAAGCATTCTAGTTCAGCATCCTCCCTTGGACTGTCAACCAACCTAGGGATTTTAAGAAATAAATGTATGGCAGTAGTAGTAGTAGTTCATTTAAAGCTACAAGGTGCCCAGATAATTGGCTAGTGGTTATTGATTCTAATTTTTACCTCCTCAGCCATTTAATCATAACCTCTTAAAAATGCCTGCTGTTCATCTCCATAACAGAAAATCCTCTCTGTATTTGTATTATATATAAGCCTAACTAGTTTTCCTTGAGTACCCTCAAACATGGTATTCTTATGCACCATCTCTGGACATTTAGAGATCTCTGGGAGGAACTGTTCTGCAGTGATTCTGAAGGGGTAGTTCCATTCTGTGGTGGTGGGAGAGGAGAGTTCTACTCAGAGATTTCTGTTCAGTGGAGTGCCTCAGGAATCTTTCCTCTTTCAACTCCATTTTAGCATCCACATGAAACCACTGCAGGAAGCCATCTGTCAGCATGAAGTTCAGTATCATTAATATCCTGATGACATCCAATTATGCATCTCATCCCCAGCATGAACAGGTGGTGCTGGAAGTGCTGACCCAGTGCCTAGAGGTTGTCAGGGTTTGTATGTAGAGGAACACACTTCAGTTGGATCCCTCCAAGAGAGAAGGATTCTTTGATTCCAGGGAAATTCTATCCCTGACTCTGATCAGGGTTGTTCTCCCCCAATTAGAATAGTAAAACTCCCAAAATGAAGATCACCTCTAACAGCTTGTGTTTGAAGAGCAGATGGCAGCTGTGACTAGGAGGGCTTTATGCAGCTATATTTTGTGTGCCAGTTATGACCATTCCTGGACCAGGAAACTCATTCACAGTCAGTTATACCCTAGTCACCTCCCACTTGGACTATAACATGCTCTACATGGAACTGCCATTGAAGAACATTCAGGAACAACAGCTGATACAGAATGTCACAGCCCAGGCAGTGGTGGGCATATCCCAATATACTTGAATAATCTGTCTGCTTCAGGAGCTACATTAATTGCTAGCTGGCTCTGGAGTAATGCAGGGTGCTGGTTGTCACTTTTAAGGCCCTATATGGCTCCTGATTATCTGAGGTCCCACCTTTTCCTGTATTCATCAGCCTGTCCAACAAGATCAAATAGCTCAGTTCCCTCCAGCTCCCATCCCTAAGGGATTATCACCTGCCGGAATCTCAGAAGCAGGTATTTTCAGTAGCTGCTTCCATTCTTTGAAATTCCCTTCCAGCAGAGATTTGGTCAGCTTTATCCTTTTTTGCTTTAGGGTAATTGTGAAGACCTACCTGTTCTGTCTTGCATAGGAGAATAATTTGTTGTATTTGAAATTGGTTTTGCAGGCACATGGGATTGTTATTTATCTTTTTTCCTTTTTAAAATGTTATATGTATTTGAGGTCATTATATGTTGGCATTATCAACTGCCCAATGCCTTCAGGATTAGGCAACATACAAACAAATGAGTGAGTAAATAAATAAATAAGAATCAAGGGCTCAGTTGGTAGACCTAGAAGTAGCTGCAAACAGACATAAATTGGAATGTGGCGGAATAATTCCAAATAAATAAATAAAATAAAAAGTCCAACGGAAATAGTGAAAGAAGTTGTTCTGGAGCAATTCCTTCAAGTTGTTCCTGCTCCAGTGAGATTTTGGTATGAAAACATCACGCAGAAACAGGATGGATTGGCAAATTAACAAATTTACCCTCATGGAGTTATGCATTCACTCTTGTTACTGTGCTCTATGCATGGAACAGTATTTTAACAACATTCTTCCAGACATCAGGCACAGATGCAGTCTGCAAAATTACATGTTAAACAAGTAATTCAGCTATTCCATAAGCAAGCCACTTCCATATTTTAACATTTTTCCATTTACACCATCTACACTTGTAGCCTTACTGCTTTTAAACATTCACACAAGTTTATGTCTTCCTTTTCATCAACTTTTTCTTTGACATTCATAGCATTCATTTCAATGTCATGCTTGATTAATATCACTATTCCCTCCCATATACTTCTCTCATATACTTCTCCCCACATTCCCTCCATTCAATTTCATTTCAGGTCATTTCATCACATTTACTTTTAATTACATTCACTTAACTGGAGCTCCCTTGTTTAGGACAGCACCCATCAACAAGCCTCATTAACAAAGAAACTTTCCTAAATTATAATCAAGTCTAATCCTGATTCTTTCTACACTTTCTTTGGTTATGTACAGTACATTACTAATATTTCTTATTTAAGTGTTTGTTATCTTCTGTTTTAACCATGTTGGCATGGTTGCACAGATGAGAGAAAGAGTTGGGGCCCAGAGTCCCTGCAAATGATGGGGTCTTTGATTTTCCTACTGTTGGCCTCTATCTTGCTCTGTGATATTGGCAACCAAATAATTGTTTCTTTAGAGGATAGCAACAGGACTTCCAACATGACTCATTCCCAAGTTCCATAAATCTTTATATTAAAAAGTAATAAGTTAGGGAGAATCTGCTTTAAATTTGCTGAATGGAAATTATTGATGAATAAATTTTCATTGCAAAATAACTTCTAATAGATGGACAATATAGAGCAGAAATAGTGCATTTATAGATTATATTAAATATTAATTAGAAAACTAATTTACATTTCTGTCTTGTTTAGTAGTGTTATGAGTTCTTCCATAGTGGTCCTGTTCTCATATATCTTTTCCACTTTGGGGGAAAATTATAATTTCTTGCTGAGATGTCAACTTCAAAATTTCTGAAACATGTTTGCAATATTTCTTACTGTCCTGGACTTGCAAATATTCCTCTGAAGTTACTTTCATCTGCACTTTTTAAGAAATCCCAAATCAAAGACTGTCAATGTTCTATTCAGTAATAAAATTATACTTATCTATAAAAGATGGGTTGTTAATGTGAAATTCTCTTCATTTGCCTAACTAGATCTGAAGCTTAGAATCTGTTTAGACTTCTGAATCTGAGAACTCTCATTCTGACAAGCAGTTGCCTTCTCACTTCATTCTGCTTCTAAGGCTTTGCCTCTTTCCTACCATTCTTGTCACTGAACATATTTCATCATGTTTACAGCTCTGTGTGTTTTTTTCCAAAGGTAAACACAGCACTCTGTTACTTATCAATCATGCTAAGTTTTATACTCTGCCTGCCCTGGTTTTTGTCTTTATTTTGTAGACTTAAGACTTCCTGACTGGATTATATTATGCTATGGTCAGTTCCCAGAGATCCTTTGATTTATATAGTGCAGAAGGAAAGATCGCTATTTTACTTTTCTCACTGAGTAGTAAAATATAATATATAGAACAGAAACTCTGCTTTTCAAACAGTAAGCATTCGCTACTTATTATTTTTCTGAACTCAGGAACAATATAGAAAAGCATAATATTTGAAGTAAATTGTTCATTACAGTACTGGTCACTACAATATTTATAGTTAGCAGGCTTATTGCATTACATACCAGAATGCATTTAATGTTAAGTTTAAAATCAATATACCTAATATATCATAAGTGAAAATACTGAAGACAGAAAAGCAATCTAAATACTTTGTTAGAAAGTATTCCCTAGAAAAGATGGAAAGTATTGCTTAAGTAGAGCATATAACATGAGAAAGCTTTAATAAATAAAAGAGACTATTTGTATTAAAAAGGATGAGGAATATTCCACCCTTATTTAGGATGGAAAGTATCTTTACATTTTAGTCTAAAACTGACATGTTCAGGTAATGAATTCAGCGTCATTTCTCCCCCTTGTTCCCCCCTCCCATCCTTTTTAGCATTTTCCACATTTTTACTCTGTAATGTACAAGCCCTCACTGGTTAATTATGTATATATTTAGGTACTGCATGTGTTGGGCTTATTATTGTCATCTAATTAGATGTAACTTGAACTGCTTGCTTCGAGAAAAACCATTAAAAATTCTTTCCTAATGACCTAGAGATGACAAAATGTCTGTAAAGTGTGAAGAAGCAGACAAGCACAGGAACATCGCTTTTAAAGAGTGTTAATCCAGATGCTGCAATCATCTAATTAAACAATATTTTGCTGTCATTAACATTTTCACCAAGGAATTGCAGTTATAATTTCTTTGTCAGCTGTCTCTGTATCACTTTCCTTCAAAACTAAAGTGCCATATAAAAACATCAAATTGGATGGTTTAATTAAAAAGTTACTTTAATGAAGAAACATTGAAGATATTTCTGAAATTTCATTTTTTCTGTGCCTTAGGTTTTATTGTTCAAGTAGTTTAGTGTTATAGGCTTGCAGTATTTAATATTCAGGGTTTAATCTTAATCTGTATAAACCTAGCTGGGAGAAATTCTGATCCTTCAGGATGAGTAAATCATATGCCAATAAAAGCATGTCTTTATGTAGTTCATTCTGTAGCTAAAAAAGTAGCAGAAATCTTTGTGTGTCAGTTATCAGGGACAGTGTAACAAATAAAATAGGCCTCAGCCTTTTTGGCCTCCTGACTACCATTGTGCTGCTAACTATAACTGGAAATGTAAGATGTCTCCTGGGGAAAAGCAAGTATCTGTTATACGTGGAGGTGTAAATATCCAAGCAGGCACACAGAGGAATGTGAGAAGTAACCTGTGCAGATCACACTGAGCCTTCCAGTGGCAGACACCATTGGAAGTTAAATCAGCATGCATTGGGTCAAGCATTCTAAAATAGCTATAATCATTTGCTTAGAACATGAATTAAAGTTATGAGATGTTGCTTACGTTAGAAAAAGTTTATGTATGGTGGTGCCTTTTTAACAAACCTGGGCACATTTTGTTATAGATAAAATGTGTGATCTATCTGTTTTGGAAAAGGCAATATTTTCTACTAATCAAAGGATGCAGCAATATGTGCTACTATGGCAGAGATTCAGTCATATTTTACAACAATATTTTATACTGGTTATATTATCGTACTGTATTTATTAGTAAATGTTTGTCTATTGATAAGTATATAACATAAGTTAGATTTTTTTTCTTTGTATTTTTTATTTGTATGGAGTTGTCTCTTTTCTAATTTTTTAATGTTCTTTTTTAAGTTTAAAGATTGTTTTGTTAACTGCGTGTATATATATATATATATATATATATATATATTTTTTAAAGCCAGACACTTCATATATGGTAGTCCGCCCAATGCAAAAAGCATAGGTGGGGGAGAGTACAGTTAACGAACCTGACAGGCTGCAGTTAATTCATTCTGAAGCAAGGCATATGCCTAGAATTTACATTTCAGCCCTTTGTGTATGATCAAGTATAATAGATTCGATGCATATTAAAGGAAAATAAAATCATAGGTAGGTGCCACCATGATGTATATGTATTAATTGCTTATTCTGTTGTACACATACAGACTCTTTCATTATCAGTTAACCTTGCATACCTAGATAATCCCAGTATGCTCCTTACATAATAGAAGTTTGGGGTTGAATCTGCCACTTCCTATCTTTTTGGCCATAGGAGAAGAGTTTGAATACAAACAGACATCATGTTGTTGGCAGTTTGCTCAAACTTATAGTTTGATATAGTTGTTTAGTTCCATCAGATGAAATGCAGTATGTGTCATAGTGATATAAGGAGCATTATATCTTGATTGGTGTTTTGGTAAAGCTATTAGTTTAAACAAACATTCCATAATTTTTGTAATATTTTATCAGGACGTACCTATAATGATCTCAATCAGTATCCTGTGTTTCCATGGGTATTAACAAATTATGAATCAGAGGAGTTGGATCTAACCTTGCCAGGAAACTTCAGAGATCTTTCAAAGGTATGTTTCAGTTGTTTATTTATTGAAAATAATTAAGCTTATTTCTGTTCTGTGAAAGAAAACATGCATTCTGGCTGTTGCAAAAGTAATTTTAATTATTGTAGCATAAGGCAGGATCTCTATTATTAGTGATCTTTTTGAAAGTACTACTATACTGCATAAGAATATTGCCACCATGTGTATATAGTGTAATGCTACAAATTCTAGCAAAGATCCTCAGTATAAAGCAAGTTTTCAGAGAGACTTTCTGAGTTTTTCAGAATTACCACTTTTTGTTCACTACTATAGATTTAGTTCTGTTTAATTTGCAGGGTAAAAAGGAAATCAGATTTTATATTCATTTCTTCTTATAAATTGTAATGTTGTTGTTAGCAACAACAACAACAATAATTGTGTGCCACCAACACCAGTCTGGCTCAGTGAGGCTCATAACACAACATACAACATCACGCATTACAATACAATATATAATAGTTCCATGGTACAAAATTCATTATGTACCAAAATAGCAACAATTAAATTACAAGAGCAATAATACTAAATAATAATGTAACAACATATTTAAAAGAGCAGAGCATATCTAATAATTACTTTTAAACTTGAATCTCAAACAGGTTTGCTTGGACAGCAAATATTTAGTTGCAATAAAACTTGTAATTAAGTTAATGTAATCTATTGTTCACATAAGTATCATGCTCCAGTGTGGCCAAAAATATTCCATTCATTTCTTTGAAGAGAAATGAGAGATTTCTGAATGCTTAAGGCCATACTGAGTTAGACTGAACACTGAGATACTCAGCGCATATGCTATATTGAGGTCGAAAACTGTGACTGTATGTCATACAAAAATAAAGTATTTTCTCATTACACATTCATCTCACATGTTTTCAGATTTTGAAACATTGATGTCTTCAAATCATATGGTTAAAAACTGGCATATGCCAAGAATCCACTTTATTTGTTGCAGTTTATTTAGTATACCACCCAACTCTTAGAAGAAAACATGAGAACTATAAAACTTTATTGCTACATTGTTTTACTTTCTATTTTGCTTTATTAAGGAAAGATACAAGGCTGTCTTACATGTAGATCATCAGTCTTGTCTATTCTGACTGGCAGCTGCTTAACTAGAGGCACTATGGATTTTACCACAGATGCATCTACACATAAAGCAACTACAAAATCCTCCATAAAAATACAGGCTTAGCTTCTTTGGTATAGAGAGCCACAAGTTCTTCTACCTTTAGCTACCAAAACAGAGGGCCCAATACTTTCTCCTACCTGGTTCTCTCCATGGAGCTCCACTATCTTCCTTTGCATTATTAGCACCACAATCTGATAAGCAAGATTTCTGACATCTTTGTATTGAATATGACTTGAAGTATTAATAACTTCCTATGTACAAAAGAAAAAAGAAAAACTACTGCCCAAAGAGGACCTACCAATTAACTATATGAATTATATTTAATTTAAACTATTGCTCAGAAATACTGTTTGTATTCATGGAAGGGATTTTTGGATTAGATAATGTCACTTTATATTAACAGTTGAGCTGGTCTTATACATTTATAAATGTGTAATTCACTTGTCAGCCACCTGTTTGATCCTTAAATGAAAGATAATTAAATATCTGAGAAGAATTATGCAATAGCGGTGTATAGGGAACTGTTTATAGCAGAACCTTCTGTACCTCAAGACACGTTGTCATTATCTACATCTCAAGCTTTTCCTTCCATTGGAAGAGGGTACTTAACTTCTGTCTGATCGTAATATTGTCAACCCATTTACCATTCTTTTCTAATATATTGAATTAATTCTGTGGCCATATTAGAATTGTATAATACCTTTCAAACTTTTGCCATATAAAATAAATCAGTTCGACTGAGTAAAGCCCTAATTTCAATTCAATTTACTTGAAAACACAAATCATACACTATATAACAATTTTTACATCTATCAGTGTAGCACATCAGGTTTGTTTTGTTATATTTTAGAATATAGGAAAAACTTCTCAGAAAATTTTAAACATCTACTCTTTGATATATTCAATTACTTTTATAAGCTGAAAAAGACACTATATTAAATGATGTATTTTAAAAGTATCCTTTTTCATACTTTTTAATCTATTGCAATGTTATCGACACAAACCACAACACATTTAAATTAAGCAAAGTAATGTATGCATTTGTACATATCTAGCACTAGTTTCATTGTTGCAAAATCTTATCTCTGTTACTACGTATTAAGCCTTACTGACTTCAGCTGACATATTTCCAGGGAAGTAGGAATAAGACTATAGCTTTATTAGAAATAATATAGTGCAAAAAATTATGAAGGATCCACTCCAATATTTCTCATTAAAATGTCTTTTAACTAAATCTTCAGGGATAGGAGGGTGGGTGGATATATGGATGGATGGATGGATGGATGGATGGATGGATGGATGGATGGATAGATATTGTACTGTACACGTACATACAATATTATTAAAAACCAATAGTAATAGAATGTGTAACCAAAGCTAAGAGATCAGTTTCTTCTAGAACCAGTAGTACATTGACTAAATGGTGCTTTTGCTTGTGCTGCTAATATTCTGCATTATCCTAAGTCCAGAAAGCCCACTTTTCTATTCCACGCTCTGTTGAATCCTCTTACTTTCAAAATTAATTTGCAGGGTAACAAAATGTATGGTTATTCAAAAAGTACAAGTACAAGCTGAGGTATCCCTGAGTACATGGAATTGGACACAATTCTTCTTCATGTCTCTAGAAAGTATTTGTATATATATAATCAATTAATAGTTAATTAATTGTCCTTTTTGCTTGTCTGTTTCAATGAACAACTAGAATCATAAATCAAGATTTTACAAAATGATTTAATTATATCTAAGTGTTTTAGGAGTTTTCTGTAAATGAATTATTTATTGTTGAAACTCAGTAAGTAACTTTAAAAGCAGCAAATATTTAATAATTAAATTGTCAATTGAAAATGTGGTCAGAAAATATAGTTTGGTCTGTGATTCAAATAGGTTGCACACATTCGTCTTTGCCCATACATAAATATTCTATTTCTGCTCTTTTGCCCTTAAATAAGGCATTTCCTTTCCCTTTTTCTAGGAAATGGCCTACAAAGGTACTTTTAAAGTACATAATTAGTTCTGTAATTATTCAAAATAGCCCCAGGAACAGTTCTTGGAAGTCTGGTCTTAGAAATCAGGATAATTTTGTGTGTCATTGTAAAGATACAGCTTTATATTACCAGTGTTAAAGCTTGGTTTCTGCTTTTGTTCGTTGCCCAGTTGAACAGGAAATGTTATGAGTGGGCAACTCTTGCAGTGTTTTTTTTTTTAAATGTAGCATTTGTCTTCATATTTCATTATATATTTTAATTGGAAGTTTGAAAAACAAGGTAAAGTATTTGTCAAGGTGTTTTATCAGTTAGACATTTGAAACTTCAAGTTATATTCAAGACATACAAAAGGTCAGAGGTTACATTTATTGTTTGACAAGTTGAAAAGCTAATGAAAGAGACTGTCATAGATCCATAGATTATCTTGGCATGAACAAGCCATCAGGAGATCTGCTTATTTTCAACTTGATTGGATCTTCCTGTAAGAATACCACTAAACATTCATATAAGAAATATTTTTGCAATTTTTATTTCATGCTGGATTTCCTCTAAGAAAAATAGTTTAATATGGTTTTCCTATATAAAATTGTGTAATACTTATTACTAAGGTGTTATGAGTATATGACTTTGGCATCCTATAAGGTCTCTGCTCATTAAATTATAAATAGGCTTTTCCCTCATTACTTCCAATCATGCAACCTACATAGGATATAGCTCTATCACTGACAAATTCTTCTAGTATTAACCAATGTGAAACACATCACACATGCCCATCTGCCAAAAGGATTTTTTAATTATTATTAACCACAAAGTTCTTTACTGGCAGGTGATAAGCATAATCAATTATTTACATTATTGCTTCAATTTACAGAAAAGGAAGTAATAATGCCTTGAGGTTTATAAATGAATTAATGAATACATGGAAGTGTGATTCTTTTTCAAGCATGAAATTCTTCATATAACCAAGTATTTTGGTTAAGCAATTATCTGACTAAAGCAATGCTAAAGTCTTTCCATTTCCATTATATGTAACTTTTTATTTAATTGGGAGCTAAACAAAACTAATTTATTTCCCATGCAAAATTCAATTCCTTTTTTTCTTAATCAGTTTATGTTAACTTGCTAGCTATAAAGTTATTGGAATTCTCCTGCTACCATATCTGTTTGTAATTGTGCTGAAAGAAACAGTAATCAGTTAGATGCTAGGAACATTTAAGTCATTAAACAAATATTTGGCAAACCTGTATGAGAGAACTATACATTTATCAAAGAAAGTGTATGTTTAAATATCAGATTCTTGGATCAAACAATATATGAAAAGAATTATTTGGATGCCTTGCTTTTATCTATAAAAATGGTACTTTAGTACAATATGGATTAGATGGGCTATAGCTGGATCCTGCTATAAATCTGTGAACTTGTAAATATTCCAATAGAAGAGAATATATGTAGCTCAGGATTGAACTGTGGAGTCCTTGGTGCTCTTTGAGCTTGGTTGTTTGCTTGCAGACGTTTCATTACCTGCCTAGGTAACATCATCAGTGTTGCAAACCCCACACTTATTAGCGCTAGTGATGTTACCTAGGCGGGTAATGAAACGCCTGCAAACAAAAACTAAGCTCAGAGAGCACCAAGAACTCCACTTGTAAATATGTTAATAAAGCAAATCTCCAAGATGATCTTTATTTCAGAGAACATTAGCAAGTGAAATGTCAACTAATAAATAATATTTTTCTTCAGATGTCATATCAACTGTTTTTCTTCCAGAAAAAAAGTTAACCATCATTTCAACAATAATATTTAATAACAACATTTTGCGTTCATATAAACTGACTCTATATTACATAGAACCTCAAATTTTGGGGAAGAAA